TTTTTGTCAATTCTTCGAAAACATCCATCTTTTTATTTCTCCGAACTGCGCTGGGCACGTGACCTGATTTGACCAATTACAAAACCAGCGTATGATTATCTTTGCTGGCACGTCCATTTTGGTGCGTCTAGTGACATTGGAACAAACTCACAGGTATTTCATACATTTAAAGTCAAGGTGAAGACCCGTCATTATAAATCTATCACCATGGCAACAGAAGCTTCGTCTGATAAATTCCTCGAGGAGATCGACGAAACCTTTCTGAACTGTGGTGTATGTTCTGAACGCTACAGTAACGCCAAAGTACTTCCGTGTCAGCACAGCTTCTGTGAGCATTGTCTCGTTAAGTTGGTCGAAAAGACCGGTCAACCTATTCACTGTCCACTATGTAGACGTAAACACTACATTAAGGTATCTGATCTTCCAAGTAATTATTTTATTAATGAGATTTCAGAAGCGTTTAAAAACCGCGATGTTGGATCAAAGGAACCGAAGCAGTGTGTGTGTGAAAAAAGCCATGTCAGTTACAGATGTTTGGATTGTGCAATGGATATTTGCGACGGATGCGCAAGGGCACACCTACATATACCACTAACAAGATCACATCGTATCACCTCATTGGAGTCATACCAAAGTTCGATTGTCAATGACCCTAGCTCAGTCTATTCGACAACGTACTGTGATAAGCATACCGATTCGCCTGTGAAATTCTACTGTGATTCGTGTGAAGTAGCAATCTGTCTAGAGTGCACAGTGATTGATCATCGTGATCATAAGCAGAGATATCTGAAAGACGCAGCAGCTGAGTATAAAAACGAACTTGTAGTAAACGCAGAACAACTAAAGGTGAAAGAAAATGAAGTACGTGACAGTAAAGATACAACACAACGGATGGCTGATTCGTTGGAAACCCGCTTTCGACAAGAAAAGAAACGCCTTGAAAACCACACGGAGAAGACGATTGAAGAAGTCACGAGAAAAATACGAAATGCAAGTAAACAACTGATAGACGCGCTGAAAGATGAATACAAGAATAGGGAAGTGAATTTAAGAGTACAAATAAAAGAACTGGAAAGTTCCGAAAATTCAATAAAGTATGCCAGGGAATACACGAACAATCTGATGCATTATGGGAATCCAGTACACATGATGTCAGCAAAGAATGGAGTGACGTCACTGTTAACAGAAATACAGACACTAGAGACGAAACAAACACCTGCTGACGATGACGACATTCAGTTTATTCCATCAGAAAACTCCTCCTTGATACAAGTACTCGGTACATTGCAATGTAAACCACCATATGTCATAGGTCATATACCAGATATGACAAGAGTTGGTGACAAGATCGATATCACTGTGACCCCAAAGAAGGAAATATCTCCACACAAAAGCAGTCACTGAGAGCAGAGATAAAAACACCGGATATGAAGATTGAAGACGTTGAAGTCAAAGACAATGAAGATACCAGCCTGTCTGTGAGGTACACTACTAAGATGATAGGTGAACATGAACTCTCAATAACAGCTTATAAAACACATGTACTTGGTTCACCTGTTAAGATTAATGTGATTCCTAAAAAAGGGTTTTTACGTAAATTTGGAGAAAATGGTTTAGCAGTAGGGCAGCTACGTAATCCACATGGGGTAATTATAACCAGGAATAGAAATGTATTGGTGTGTGATACAGGAAATAATAGATTACAAATATTCACATTAGATGGCAATCATCTAAAATCAATTAAATTCACAAATTTTGCCAAACCATTCACTCCGCATTATTCAGCAATATCAGATGATGGTTACATATTCACTACAGATCACAATAACAAACAGGTTGTTGTGTGTGATGAGAACGGGAAATTGATAAGAGTGTTTGGCAGTAAGGAATTACAGTCCCCATATGGGGTTGCAATTAGTCCGATTAATGGTAATGTCTATGTTACTGACTTTCGATCTCATTGTGTGAGAATTTACAGTGAACTTGGGGTTTATATGACGTCATTCGGGAGTAGTGGTACCGGGGATTCCCAGTTCAATAAGCCGTGGGATATTGCTATTGGTAACACAGGTAATATTATAGTGTCTGACTATAGCAACAATCGTATCCAGGTGTTTGACAACAACTGCAGATTATTACATGTATTTGGGTGTCAAGGGAACAAGGAGGGGGAGATGAATGGCCCCATGGGTGTAGCTACAGATACAGATGGATGTGTGTATATATGCGACTATAGTAACAAAAGAGTTCAGAAATTTGACCCACAAGGCAAGTTCATTGCACGGATTGACAACATTGAAGATGATGTTAGTAGTCATAGAGGAATATACGTCACTGATGATAAACCATTTGGTAAAGTAGTCGTCATAGAGTGGGGTCGGTGTTGTGTAAAAGTATTTACCCAATGAATGCGAGATGTTTGACTGGAATTGAATCTAAAATCTAGTTATGTAGATACGAATATTGTGCAATTGTGCAATCTCCAGCAATAATACCATGAACAAAATAGTCTTTCACTTTGGAACCTCCGATCAGTGCACAACTGACCTTCCACAAAATAAACCAAAATTGTTATACACGTACAGACAATGTGATGTGTTCATAGATGTGTAGCAGCGAGCGAGTTTGTTAAAAAAAAACACCAAAATGTGAAATTCTTTTTGAAATCCCTGCCTGTTGTTGGTCATGGTGTTAAAAATAGTTTGCATTAAAATACTAAATTGTGAATGTATATATTTTGCATTATACGTGGTATATATTGTAGAAGTTCATGTTGAATAGTAATTTTGGAGTATGTGCACGGTTAATTAGAAAATACCCATGATGCTCTGCTTCATTACATATTTTGCCATTTTCTATATTTTGAACTCTATAATGTGAACACTTTTTTACCACTGTTACTGGTGACTATGTTTTTACTATAGAATATCCGAACATAATCCCCACAGATCAAAAGCTGTTGTTGGTGGAAGTATACCACTGTATTGTGAACAAATCGTATAAAAATACACGACTCAGAAAATACAACCATTACCCGGGCCGACTCTGATCATGCGACAGTTTACAAAAAATGTAGCTACATGCTGACATCACAGTTTGCTGACGGGGACTGTATACCTGAAACACCAGAGTTAGGAAACTAGTTTTACCCGTTATTCGGTAAAATATTGTATGCAATAACTTGTGCTATTTGGGGGTTATGAATTGAGCTTACACATTTTTTTCAAAATAATTGCGTTAATTTCTTGTTAAAAAATAAAAAAAACATCAGTTTCCAAACCCTTGCTTCTGTTCTTATTTGACGGATGATTGAATCTTGTTATTTGATTAGTATTTGTGTATTGTTGATTAAACATTTAACTTGAGCTCAGTTATGCCGCAAGACACTCCATTTTTCTGTTCCGAAGTTAAACCAAACTATACTACATCAGATATAAATTGTTATTACTACAGTAGTTCATCCTATGTGTTCGTCATTACATATACATTGTAGTACAGTGTCTGATTCACGTACGTCGTGAATTGTATAATTGTTTAATTGTATATTTTTTTTAATGATGCGACGAAGGGAATATAAAGTATGAACGACGATGGTAACTGGTAAAACAAATTCCTGTACTGAGTTTATTACTCAAATATATCGCATAGCATCGTGTTCACATAGTGCGAGATTATAAAGGTCCTAAAAACCTAAAACGATAAGAAAATACAATAAATTACATTGATAAGTAATAAGAATTCGGATCGAGTCTACAATTCACACGAATAATACTGAAAAGTTTGACATCAATGAAAGTGAAAAACGGAATAAATTAACAAAGCACATGTCGTGAACAAAGGATTAAAGGGAAATTTGGAAGACGTGGTTAGAACAATAGCAAAATGAAAACATACCCCACCAGTTGGTCAAAACTAGTAAAATACAACACAGTCTGGCTTGTAGAAGTCACAAACTCGTACTAGCGTGTTAAACACCACAAGTTG